ACCTGTGAAATCTGCTCTGCTAAGAGTGCTTTCATTCATATGTTAAGGGTTCAAGCAGGAAACCCTAAAACTCTGTTCCTGACAGATTCAGACTCATAGTAAGCCCTCAGATTTCTTTGAAATGTTATCTACTGTTTGATCCTTGCTGCCCTGAATTCCTGTGTATTAGAACCTAATAACCTGTGTATTAAAACCTAATAAAAGCCCTGGAGGAGGAGGCTGGAGGCCTTTTTCTCCTTGGAGAAACTGGCCGCAGCTGGCCTTTTCCCCTGAGAAACTGGCCACTGCTCACTTCTCCTCCCCAAGCAGATCACATCATATCTCAGTCACTATTACTTTCCATCCGTGGCACGTGGGCAGACTTGCGAGGGAAGTCGCTCCCACAGGAAGAAATAAACGTTCAACCAGAACAGAATAAAAAAAAGAGCAATTCAAAAAAATGAGGAGAGGCTTAGGAATCTCTAGGACAGCTTTAAACTTTCCAAAATCTGATTCATAAGAGTACATGAAGGAGAAGAGGAAGAGCAAGAAATTAAAAACTTATTTGAAAAAATAATAAAGAACTTCCCCAATCTGGCGAAGGAAATAGACTTCCAGGATGTCCAGAAACCTCAGAATTCCAAGTAATTGGACCCTAGGAGGAACAAACTAAGACACACCATATTAAATTACCTAAGATAAAAGGTAAGAAGAAAATCTTAAAAGCAGCAAGAGAAAAGAGCGTTACCTGCAAAGGACATGCCATAAGACTATCAGCTGATTACTCAAAGAAACTTTACAGGCAAGAAGGGAACAAGTATCCAAATTTAGGACTGCCAGCCAAGATGGAGACATAGATAGATATACACTTTGCCTGCTCACACAACTAAAAGAAGGGCAACAATAAATTTGAAAACAAAAAAATAACCACAACTGTCAGAATAATCAAACTGTATGAAAGTCTGATAACCAAAGAATTAAAGAAGAAATATTCATCCAGACCAGTAGGAGGGGCAGAGATGGGTGGCTGGGGCAGAGAGGTCTCACTGCAAGGCAGCAGCTGGAGGACAGAGGCCGGTAAGGCGGTGGCTGGCAGACCAGGTGAGGTGGCAGCTTGCCGGACAGGCAGTCCCACATTTCATTGTAGATAAACAGGGAGGAACAACTGGGGAGCAAGACACACCGTGCTACCGAGGGTTCCAGTGCAGTGAAGTAAAACTACAAAACCTATGCCTGTAAAAACTTATGGGGGTTGCGGCAACAAGAGAAACTCCCAGCCTCATAGAAGAGATCGTTGGAGAGACCCATGGGGTCCTAGAATATACACAAACATGCCTCCCTGGAAATTAGCACCAGAAGGGCCCAATTTGCTTGTGGGTAACAGGAGAAGTGACTGAAAGCTGGCTGAGAGCCTACCAAGTGGCACTGCTCCCACTTGGACCCCTCCCCTACATACAGCATCACAATGCAAAGTGTGTTGCTCTGCCCTGGCAAATATCTAAGGCTCTGCTGCCTAGTACATAACAGGCACACTGAGACAAAAAAAATATGGCCTAAATGAAAGAATAAATCAAAGCTCCAAATATAGAACTAAGCAATGAATGCTAGACAACCTAGGCAAGAATAGGCTAGAAAGAAGTATTCAAAGGCTTGAAAGACAGACACTTAATCCAAGATTACTCTCCCCAGCAAAGCTATCATTTAGAATGGAAGGGCAGATAAAGTGCTTCCTGGAAAAGTCAAGTAAAAGGAGTTTATCACCACCAAGCCCGTATTATATGAAACATTAAAGGGACTTATCTATGAAAAAGAAGGTATCAAAAATACAAACGGTGAAATGACAACAAACTCACAACTATCAACAACTGAACCTAAAAAACAAAACAAAAATGAAAAAGCAAACAACTAGAACAGAAGAAGAATCACAGAAATGGAGATCACCTGGAGGGTTATCAGTGGGGAGGGGGAGAGGGAAGAACGGGGAAAAGGTACAGGGAATATGAAGTATTAATGGTAGGCACAAAATAGACAGGGGGAGGTTAAAAATAGTATACAAAATGGAGAAGCCAAAGAAGCTATACGTACAACCCATATACATGAACTAGGGGTGGGGGAAATATTGGTGGGAGGTGGAATGCAGGACTGAGGGGGATAAAATGGGAAAAAAATGGAACAACTGTAGTATAATCAATAAAGCATACCTAAAAAAGAACACACACATATATATTTGCTTATAAATGCATAAAGAAACCCTAAACCAATACCTAAGAAACTAATAACTGCCATTCTCTGTTAAGGGGACTGATGAACTAGGCAGATGAGAAAAGCATAATGAAAGGAAATATGCCCACACACACATGAGCGTCTAACCATGAATACACATAAAATACATTTTTAAACAATTTACACTATTCAAAAATTATATATACATACACACATATACCTATAAACATTCATAACTTTTGAATAATGTTAACTTATGGCCTTTCCAAAAACTTGTATTTTAAAAAGTTCTTATAACTTGAAGTAGTTTACACGTATCCTGATAAATTTGTCCCTAAAATCTGTGAAACAGGATTCTGATTCTAACTCTTAAAAAGGCATTTACTGCCTGAATAGGTATGCCTCACCTGCTTAGGCACTGTATCATAAAATGAAAGGTTTCTGGTTCAATTCCAAATTCCCATTCAGGACACATACCTGGGTTACAAGTTCAGTCCCATGTCAGGGTGCATACTACATACAGGCAATCAATCAATGTTTCTCACAATAATGTTTCTCTCCCTGTCTTTCTATCTCCCTCTCCCTAAAAATAAAATCTTTTTTCTTCCAAAAGAAAAAGCATTTATCAATCTTACTAGTATTAAAAATGCAAATACTATAAGATTTTTAAAAGTCCAAAGTTACATTTAAAATTATGATCACAAAACAATGAAATCCAAACTCTCACCACATAGTGAAGTTAAGAGTACAAGTCTTTAATACACTCTAGAAATAATTTGCTAATATGGAGAGCCTTCAAATAGGCTCAACCTGGTAATTTCACTTCTAAATATCTATCCTAAGGAAACCAACTGCAATTGGGTAGACCAGACCAGAGGTCCCTGGAAAACAGTGGAGACTGCAGGTCCAAGGGAACCCCGCCCCAGTCCTGCAAAATGTTGGTGGGAAGAGAAGGGTACCCACAGAACAGAAGGCAAATTACTTAAGGAACACTGCATAACAAAGACAGGTTAACACAACTCATGCCTTCCTGGAAGGCATGGGCTGTGGAAGGAGGCAGCTGCCCAGGGCAAAGAAAAAGACTGTAAACAAAGACAATGTGACTGTGAGAGCTTGCATTGGCAGAGTTATTCATGACATAGCGGCAGGGGTGGTTCAAACAGACCCTGCTTGAACTGCGGAGGCCCAATGCCCCACCCTGGATGGACAGATGCATGTGCGCCTGTGTGTGGTTGGGAAACTTTTGCCTGGACACAGATAGCAGTTGAAAGAGGGTCAAAGACACCAGGGGCTGACAAAAAAGGTAAATACTGACTCACCCTAGGAAAAGCTAGACACTCTCAGTGGTTTCCCGCACCCTGATTTTGGGAGGGCCTTATAAAGTAAAGGGCAGAAAAGCTTTTTCTTTCTCACACTGTTGGTACAGGCACTTGGTATTGAGAAGTCAAACACTTATTTTGGAACTTGGTGTAAGCTCTTTCTCTGGGCTGTTGGCATTTGGATATTCTGGGCCTTTGGCCCTGCTCCCTACATGGATAGGAACACTCGTGGGGCCAGGAAGATGCCAGGCCCACCAGATACATAGATGCCATATGTGTAAAAGCCTACTGCTGAAAGAAGAGTCCCATGTTGGGACATGGGCCTCCCTGGGCACCAACCTCAGGGTAATAATGCATAGCACCTGGGTCCTGGACCACTACACGGAGACTGAGAGCAGCACACTCCAGATGAAGAAGAGCTTCTGAGAGAAGATGGTGACTCTGAAACCAACAAGTGCACATGCCAGAGAGGATGGAGACCTGTTTGCATGACTGGCTGATGGATAGATAATGTACGGGGAACTTCTGGGTCTTGTGGAAGAGAAGGGCTCTGAGCAGGAGTGTTCTGAGCTCCCCATCTAGGTTGGAACCCTGTTAATAGAAACCTATTTCCTTCAACACAAATTGCTGGGTCATATAAAGGGTAACAAGTGGCCAAAGCCCAGTTTACATGTTTATAAGGTCAAAACACAGGAAAACTTTTATAAGCAAATTCATCCACCTCCTCTATCACTAAAATGGCAGAAACAGTACATAGTAAGTATCAACCTGTATCTACCAGAAGCATGTAAAACGCTAAAGATCCACTATTCAATGTGTAACATTACTAATCTTCATTCATTCATTGAGAGAAAGGAAGAGAGGGAGAGAGACATCAATGTGCCAGAGAAACAGCCATCACTTTCCTCTTTGCACACCCCCAACTGGGGAGCTGGCTCGCATCCCAGGCATGTGTCCTGACTGGGAGTCAAACTGGTGACCTTTCAGTTCTCAGGATAGCACACAATCCACTGAGACATACCAGCCAAGGCTAATTATCTTTTAAATACGGAAAATTATTATTATAAGTGAAAAACAAGAATATTAAAAATTTGCACACAAAAATGGCTTGAATGAAATTCACGAAACTTACAATAGTTCCTTTTGAATGATGAACCTATAATTGTCTTCTGGATACTTTTTTCCCAACTTCGTTTTTTTTTTTAATTGAAATTTTTTTTTTTTAAATTGAATGTTTTTTTTAAAATTTATTTATCTTTAGAGGGGAAGGGAAGGAGAGAGGGAAAAAACATCAATGTATAGTTGCCTTTTGTGCATCCCTTGCTGGGAAGTGGCCTGCAACCCAGGCATGTGCCCTGACTGGGAATCGAACCACGATTGTCTGGTTCGCAGGGCTTCGCTCAATCCACTAAGCTACACCAGCCAGGGCCCAACTTTCTTATACTGAGCATGTATTATTATTTTTTTAAAAGTACCTACCCTGACAAACTTGTTCCAGAAATTTCACTAGGAGAAGAATGACTCAGTGGAGAAGTGGAAGGTCTGAAGCTATCCTGGTCATCTTCTGAATTATGTCCACCATGCTCAGGAGGATTTTTCAAATCTATCAGAAAGGTGTACTTTTTAATGAAATGGGGGAAAAAAAGCTTGCATAGTTTTCTGAATGTGATCAATTACCGATACTTACCAACATTTTTAGGGGGGATTAAGAAATGGTTTCCAAAAGTCACATGCTTTTCACAGTTACTTGCTTCACTAACATATTCATTTTGCCTCTGTTTTCCTCTATTGTTTTGCATTTCTTCACATTCTTCTGACAGCCAAAGGGATGTTACTCTGGGGCTCTTTACTAATGAGTAATTATTAGACGTTGAAATGGATATTGAGGTAACTTTTTCACTGTTACCAATATCTGGTAATTTGTCACCAATGGAATGTGTCTTCACATCAACCACTGTACTCTCACACTCTCTTATACTAGTAAGAACTGAATTGGAAGAATTTATTGTTCTAAGTGATTCCTGGTTTTCACTCTTTCCATTTTCACCATAAAAAATAGCTACTGTATTTTCTTCTGATTCCCTTATACTTATACTAGAAGCACCTAAGTCCACTGTATGGATGTCCTTTGTCATCCCTTCTTTTAGTAAAGATAAATCTTTCCAAATATCAGATACATCAGCTCTTGAAATCTTCTCCAGTCCACTCTTGCAACTACTAATTTCTGTTTTTTTAAGGTATTTCTCCATATCAAATACACTGGATCCATTACTTCTTTCCGAATCATTACATAAGAAATGAGACAAAACTGAAGAGTCCTTTTGTTTATCATCTTCCTGCAAAGTCTTCTCTCTAGTTTTATTTGAAAGTGCCTTAATCACAGCAGCAAGTTGGGAAGAATCAGCACTCACTGATGCATTTGCAATAGCTGAAGCAATCGTGCTTATCCTGAGTATAGAATCTCCACCCTCAGGAAGCTTGCCTTTGCAGCTTTGGGGTTTGTTGTTCAAGAAAAAAGTGTCCTAGGAATGAGAAAATTTACATCAGATAAATTTATTTCAGGTCCATAGACAGGCACATATTAATTTTTTTTTATTTAATTTTTTTATTGATTATGCCATTACAGTTGTTCTATTCCCCCTCTTCATTCCCCCTCCACACTGCACATCCCCACCATTCCCCCCTTTAGTTTATGACCATGTGTCTCAAGTTCTTTAGATTCTATATTTCCCATACTATTCTTGCCCCCCATCTACTTTCTATCTACCATCTATGCTACTTATTTTCTGTACCTTCTCCCCCCTTCTCCTCCTCCCACTCACCTGTTGCTAACCCCCCTTGCCCTTATTATATGAAATGTTAAAGAGACTTATCTAAGAAAAAGAAGTTAAAAAAACATGAACAGTGAAAGGACAGCAAACTCACAGTTATTAACAACCACACCTAAAACAAAAGCAAACTAAAAAAGGACAGCTAGATCAGGAGTGGAAAGAGAGATATAATTTTTATTTATAAATGCTACATAAGATTTAACAGCACCAAGAAATTAGTGGTATAACAATTGAACATCCTAAAGAAACAAGACAGCTGTTAACAACTTTAATCCAGTAGTGAATTATGTATATAATCTAATTATCAATTGGTTAAAAAAAAAACCTTCTTGAGTAAAACTATGCTAAACCTGAATCAGAGAATAATTTAAAACCAAAACATTAAGATAAGAAGATTGAGAAGCCAATGTGGTAGGGTGACAGCCAAGTACAGTTCCTGATAATTTCATTAAATTGTTGGAATAATTTATAGGCAAGATATAAACAGAAATCATGGGTGAAAACTAAAAAGGAACCAGAAAAAAATGAGCTAATTTAATATTCAGATGTACAAGTAAAGACTTCTGCCTCCAGTAATAGCAGACAAAGTTATGCAAACTGTTACTGAGAGCAGTAAGATTTGGAGAGCATATTCAGAGATACCCCTTAAAAGGCATCAAAGAGATTCAAAATTAATTAATTAATTAAACTCTGAGGCAAAAACTCAAAAGAAAGAATGACAAAAAGGTAAGTCCATTAAGGAAGATACTTCTCCATAGATCTGCTGCTTAAAAAAAAGGTAGCTCATTAAACTTCAAAAAGAAGTTAAGCAAAGCTGATCTTATCAGAGGAAGGGTATAAAACCTCAGTTCAGAATATTCCAATTGCAGCAGAGAGCGGAACTGGTCAACATTTCACTTTAGGAAAAGACCAGAAAAGGCTACACCCTAGGAGGAAAGGAGAAACAAAATTAAACTGATCCTGGTGAGGACTGTGGCTCATCTTTAAATCAGCTCAACCTCTGAAACCAAATCTAAAATCAAAACATAAACACCTAAAATGAAAGATCTAACATAAAATCTACAACATAATTAAGGAAGGAAAATACAACACTAAGGACTTCTGACCAAGATGGAGGCATAGGTAGATGTACTTTGCCTCCTCATAAAACCAATAGGATGACAACAAATTAAAAAAAAAAAAGAACTGCCAAAAAAACAGAACTGTTGTCCTATGGAAGTCAGACAACTAAGGAAAAGAAACATTCATTCAGACTGGTAGAAGGGGGGGAGACAGGCAGCTGGAGCAGAGAGGATATGCGTGAAGGCACTGGCTGGACAACCAGGTGGAGGAGGCGAGGGCCTGTGGACCAGGCAGTCCCATATTTACATGCAGATAAACTAGGAGGAACAACTGGGGAGAAAGACCATACAACGCAGGTTTCCAGCATGGAGAAATAAAGACTAAAGACCTCAGAATAGGTCCTCTTCAGGTAGTAGGCCTTAAAGCCACTGTAACTCCTTGATCTATTGGTTAAATCAAAGAGGTGGTGTTTGGAGAAACACCTCACTGATATTAAGATGAAGAACACCAATAAAAGAAGGATGTCTGAGTGTGCTATCTACAATATGCAAAATCTTGAAAGGTATGTTTTTCTCCAAACACTACTTCTCAATTTTGTTGGCATCACTATTTAGGAGGGCATCTTAGAGAAGGTACTGGGTCACCCATGACTTTTTATGACTCCCATAGGGCACTGACAATGTGTTTACTGTTATACTTGAAGGCCCTGGAGTTCTCATTAGGCCAGAACACTTAGGGTTTCAATTTGTAGCCAGCAACACTGAAACACTGACCCAGCCTTTCCTTATAAGCCCTGAAACCCAACATTCACTTGGTCTGCTCATGGATCAAAGTCCTTTCAGGCATCTGTTTCCAGAATAAGAAGGTTTCATTCATACTGAGTATTTATTGTGGATAATAATTTTCATGTAGATAAGCTTTAGTTTATCTAAAGTTTCCAAAAATTCTTCTGCTGCCTTTTAATCAGCACTCAGACTCACCACTGACTTTCAGATTACATAATCAAAAACATTTCTTGAATTGTTAAACCACCAAAAACTAGCAGTAAATTCAACAATGCAATTGAATTCATCCTTATCTTTCAAAACTGCAAACAAATTTTTTGCTTTCTTTGATAATTGTATTGCTAAGAGACCCACACTTCTGTCTCTGGTCTTTAATCCATGTAGTTATAATATTCAAAAATGTTTTAATGTAATTCACCTCAATACCAAAAGAAAAACCTCATGGTCACATCCTTGAAATAAAAAAAAATTATTTGACATGATTCAATCTCCTTACAAGTAAAAACTAAAACAAAACTCACAAACAAATGTTAGACAGAAATTTCCTAAATTTATAATAATATAGTGTACTTAACATTTAAAGATAAAATACCGAAAAACTTTCCCACTTAGTCAAGGAAACACAAAATATTCACTTCTACTTAATGTTCCAAGGTGCAGTCAAGTAAAGCTAGACAAGAAAATGAAGGTATAAAAATTAGAAAAAAGAAAGGGAAGGTGGTGGCAAGATTGTTGGGAGTGGGGTCCACTTCCCCCTGCACACAGGTGGAACACCTAGCCAATCTTCAAGGAACAGGGCTAACAGTCAACACTACCCCAGCATATATGAAGATTGGACACCAAATTTTGTGGAGGACATTGAAAAATCAGACATGACAAAATAAAATCTGGAACTGTGAAAAGACCAGAGCGACCCAAAGAGGGGTCATGCTAACAGATGAGACAGTGAACAAACTTGACTTTGCTACTCTAGAGAACTTAGTAGGTGGAAGCTGTGAACACACGGATACCTCCTGGAAGAGGAAACCCACCAACAAAGGAACCACCAACACATAACAACAGAAGAAGGTGAAGAAAGGAGTGGAAGCCACACCAACCTCAATCTAGGATATACCTGGAAATACAACTAAATAGTGGAGAAATTAATCAGAACACACAACTGAACAAAAACAAGAGAGAATCCGCAAAACCCGGCACACAGGGAAGAAACCAGCTTCAACACAACCTGCCCAAACCTGCACAACAGAACACAAGAGGTGGTGGATGGAGTGATTTTCAGTAAAGCAGGTAGAGAAAGGACCCACCAAACAGAGACCTACCAATAATAAAAAACCAAAGAGATACAGAGAGGCAACATAAACAATAGCCTACAACCGATGAGCTCAGGAAATGAAGGACAGTACACCACTGAATTTCACAGGTTTTCTACCATAAAAGTTCACGCCATAAACCCAGGGAGTTAGAAATGATCAATTTAAGCAGAGGCTAAACAAGAAGAGTCTCACAAACAATGGGAAGACAAAGAAACAATCCCCAAATGAAAGGAAAGGAGGAAGCCTCAGAAAGAACACTAAATGAAATAGCAGCAAGTCAACGATCAGATACTGAGCTCAAAGCAATGACTATAAGTAACCTCAATGAGCTCACAGAGAATTACCAGAAACTAAGACTTAACAACAATGAACTCACTGCAAACTACATCAACATGAAAAAGGAAATGGAAACTATCAACAAGGGCCAAGGGGAAATGAAGAATACAATTTTGGAACTGAAGAACACAGCAGAAGAAATCGAAATCAACCTTGATGAAGAAGAGGATTGGATCAGCGACTGGAGGACAAAGTAGAAAAAAACACTTGATTTCTTGCTCTGAGAAAGAGCAAGAAAAGGAAAAGAGGCTCAAAAAGAATGAAGAGGGATTAGGGGAAATGTAGGACAATATGAAACATAGTAATATCTGTATAATAGAAATACCAGACAAAGAAGAAGAGCTAGGGATAGAAAACCTGTTTGAAAAAGTAATGATGGGCAGCTTCCCTACTTTGATGAGACAAAAAGTCACACAAATACAGGAAACACAGAGAGTCCCATTCAAGAAAAATCCAAAGAGGCCCACCTGAAGACACATCATAATTAAAATGGCAAAATTCAGGATAAAGAGAGAATCTTAAAGGCAGAAAGGTAGAAACAGAAAATACTATAAAAGGGAGACGCAATAAGACTAGCAGCTGACTTCTCAATGGAAATGCTCCAAGCCAGAAGGGAATGTCAAGAAAGATTCCAAGTAATGAAAACCAGAGGCTTGCAACCAAGGCTACTTTATCAGCAAGGCTCAGTTAAAATGGAAGGCCAAAGAAGGAGCTTCCCAGACAAAAGAAGCCTGAAAAAATACACCTTCTCTAAACCAGCTCTGCAAGAGACGCTAAAAAGTTTGCTTTAAGAACTGGAAGAAAAACAGTGAAAGAGAGAAGAACACGGGTATAAAAAAATGGCAATGAGTAAGTAAGTACTTATCAATAACATAAAATGTAAATGGATTAAATGCCCGAATAAAAATACACACAATAGCAGAATAGATCGGAAAACATGACCCACACAGATGCTGCTTACAAGAGATGTACCTCAGAACAAAAGACCTAAACGGACTGAAAGTGAAGGGCTGAAAACAAATAATCCAAGCAAATGGATAGGAAAAAAAGCCAGGGTAGCAATACTCATATTGAAAAATACAAACCTCAAAAAAAGAGCCATAAAAAGAGACCCAGATGGTCAATTCAAAATACTCAAGGAAAGAATCAATCAATCAATCAATCAAGATGTAAACATTGTAAATATATATGCACCCAACATAGGAGCACTCACATACATAAAGAACATCTTACAGGTCTGAGAAAGATATCGAAAGCAACACAATTATAGCAGGAAATTTTAACACCCCACTGTCAAAAATGGACAGATCTTCCGAACAAAATATCAACAAAGATGCTGTTGCATTGAACAATGCCCTAGATGAAATGGACTTAACTGATATATACCGAACCTTTCATCCCCAAAAAACAAAATACACGTTCTTTTTAAATGCACATGGAACATTTTCAAAGATAGACCACATGATAGGACACAAAACGAGCCTCAACAAATTCAAGAATACTGAAATCATATCAAGCATTTTCTCTGACAAGAGATTAAAACTAGAAATCAACCTCATGGAAAAACACCCAAAACACTCAAACTCATGGAGATTAAATAGCATGCTATTAAACAATGAATGGGTCAAGAATGAGTTCAAGGAAGAAATCAAAAAGTTTCGGGAAACAATATAAAATGAATTCACAACAATCCAAAATTTATGGGACACAGCAAAAGCAGTCCTGACCGGGAAGCTCAAAGTGATACAGCCTACCTAAAATAGATAGAAACATTTCAAATAAAAAACCTAACCCTATGCCTACAAGAACTTGAGGAACAACAACAAAGACATCCCAGGGAAAGTAGAAGGAAGGAAATAACCAAGATCAGAGCAGAATTAAATGACATAGAGACTAGAAGCACAACTCTAAGGATCAATGAATCCAGGAGCTGTTTTTCTAAAAAAGATAAACAAAATTGACAAGCCTTTAAGCAGGCTCATCAAGAAAAAAGGAGGACCTAAATAAACACAATCAGAAATGAAAGAGAGGTCAGAACTGATACCACAGAAACACAAAGGATTGTAAGAAATTACTACAAAAAACTACATGCCAAGAAATCTGAAAACCTAGGAGAAAAGGGCAAATTTCTAAAAAAAAAAAATACAATTTTCCAAAATTAAATGAAGCAGAAAGCCTAAACAGACCAATAACAGCTTATGAAATTGAAACAATAATCGAAAAGCTTCTGAACCACAAAAGCCCTGGACCAGGAAGTTTCACAGGAGAATTTTACAAAGCATTTAAGAATGAGCTAACCCCCATCCTCCAGAGGTTGCTCAGAAAAATCCAAGAAGACAGGAAACTTCCAACCTCTTTTTATGAGGCCAGCATCATCGTAATCCCAAATCCAGATAAAGACATAATAAAGAAAGAAAACTTTTAAGCCAATATCGCTGATGAACATATATGCTAAAATCCTCAACAAAATATTGGCAAACTGCATCCAGCAATATGTTAAAAAGATCATACATGAGGATCAAGTGGGATTCATCCAAGGGATACAAGGATGGTACAACATTAAAAAATCAATAAATGTGACACACAACATAAGCAAAACAAAAGACAAAAATCACATGTTCATGTCAATAGATGCAAAAAATGCAATTAGTAAGGTACAACATCCATTTATGATAAAAGCACTCAAAAAAGGGGAAATGGAGCATTCCTCAACATAATACAGACCATATATGAGAGACCTACAGCCAACATTATATTCAACGGAGAAAAACTGAGAGCCTTCCCACTACGATGAGGAAGAAAACAAGGATGTCCACTTTCACTATTCTGATTCAACATAATACTGGAAGTCCTAGCCACAGCAATCAGACAAGAAAAATAAAAGGCATCCAAATTGAAAAGGAGGAAACAAAACTGTCACTGTTTGCAGATGACGTAATATTCTACATAGAAAACCCTACAGACTCCATCAAAAAACTACTCAAACTAGTAAATGAATTTGGAAAAACAGCCAGATACAAAGTCAATACTCAGAAATCAAAGGCATTTTTGTATGCCAACAATGAAACATCAGAAACAGAAATCAGGGGAAAAAAATCCCATTTGATACAGCAACAAGAAAAATAAAGTACCTAGGAATAACCCTAAACAAGGAGGTAAAAGACTTATACTCAGAAAACAATACAACAGTTAAAAAAAGAAATTGAGGAAGGCACAAACAAAGGGAAGCATGGACCATGCTCATGGATTGGAAGAATTAACCTCATCAAAATGGCCATACTACCCAAAGCAATTTATACATTCAACTCTATCCCTATTAAAGTACCAATGACATATTTTACAGATATAGAACAAACATTTCAGATATTTATATGGAACCATAAATGACCCTAAAGAGCTTTAGCAATTTTGAGAAAGAAGAACAAAGCAGGAGGGAACACAATACCTCAATCAAACTGTATTACAAGGCCACTGTAATAAAAAAAAAAAAAAAGCCTGGTACTGGCATCAAAATAGGCATGTAGACCAAAGGAACAGAATAGAGAGCCCAGAAATAAACCCGTCTCTACAGTCAATTAATATTTGACAGTGGGGGGAAGAAGCATAAATTGGAATAAAAATAGCCTCTTCAACCAATGGTGTTGGGACCTCTGGACAGCTAAATGCAAAAAAAAAAAGAAAGAAACTGGATCACCAACTTATACCATACACAAAAATAAATTCAAAGTGGATAAAAGATTAAATATAACTTGTGACACCATAAAAATCTGAGAGGAAAACATCAACAGGAAAATCTCAGACATTCCATGCAGCAACATCTAAACTAGTATGTCTTCTAAAAGGAAAAGAAATAAAGGAAAGAATAAACAAATAGGATCTCATCAAAATAGAAAGCTTCTGCATGGCTAAAGAAAACAGCATTAAAATAAAAAGAGAAACAACTATATGGGAAACCATAATTGCCAATGATACTTTGGACAAGGGTTTGATCTCCAAAATATATAAAGAACTTACATGACACCACTACAGGAAGACTAAAAACAAAAACAAAAACAATAAAGTTAAAAAATGGGCAAAAGACTTGAACAGACACTTCTCCACGGAGGTCATATAGAGGGCCCAGAAACATGAAAAGATGCTCAACAGCACCAGCCATCAGAGAGCTGCAAATTAAAACCACAATGAGATACCACTTCACACCAGTCAGAGTAGTCATCATAAACAAATCAACAAACGAGTGTTGGAATGGTCGTAGAGAAAAGAGAACCCGAGTACACTGTTGGTGGGAATGCAGACTAGTGCAGCCACTGTGGAAACAGTATGGAATTTCCTCAGAAAACTAAAATTGGAAGTGCCATATGACCCAGAAATTCTACTGCTGGGATTATACCCTAAGAGCCCTGAAACACCAATGCAAAAGAACCTATGCATACAACTGTTCACAGCAGCACAATGTACAACAGACAAGTGCTGGAAGCAACCCAAGTGCCCATCAGTAAATGAAGGAATCAGAAAACTATGGTATAGTTACACAATGGAATAATACACAGTAGAGAGAAGGAAGGAGCTCCTAACCTTTGTGACAGCATGGATGGAACTGGAGAGCTATGCTAAGTGAAGCAAGCCAGGCAGTGAGGGACGACATATACCATATGATCTCACCTTTAAGCGGGACATAAATATCAAAAGAAAAATGCACACAAAATATAACCAGAGAAGTTGAAATTAAGAACAACCTAACAATAGCCAGAGGGAAGGGGGAGGGCACCGAGGGGAGAAGGAGTTTCAGGAACTACTATAAAGAACGCATGTACCAAATCAAGGGGGAGAGTGGAAGAAAGGGAGGGAGGTGGATTCGGCTGGCGTTGGGCAGAGAGTGGCAGGGAGAAAATGTAGACAGCTGTGATTGAACGATAATTTAATTAAAAAATTAATTAGAAAGGAATAAAACTGTAATTCTCAGATACACACACACACACACACACCAATGAATCTACAGGTATTTATTAGAGGTAATAAAAAATTTAGCGTGGTGGCTGAATATAAGGTGAGTACATTTAAAAAATATATTTCTGTTTAGCCACAAGAAATGGAAAATGAAGTTAAGGAAGATAATATGAAAATAATGTTTCAACAACTTAGGAATCTAACAAAAGATGTACAAAAATCTCTACACAAAAGGATCATAAAATAGAGAGAGAATTAGAAACTTAAATTGAAGTATGTATCATTTTCATGGATAAGAAGATTCAATATTATAAAGATGTCAATTTTATTGTTTTATAGATTAAATGCAATCCAAATTAAAAGCTCAACTGAGTTGCTGGTTGGTTGGTTCATGTAAGGTGAGAATTTGATTATAAAATATATGCAAAAATTCAAACAACCAAAAATTGCTAAGATACTTTTACACAAATATAAAAGGGAGGACTCAGTCTATTGAATATCAGAACTTAATTGTAAAGCTACAATATTCAACCATGTCACAATGACATACACAGATATTAGATCCCAAATATCCATCAACAGTAGAATGGATATATCAAGTGAAAAATATTCATAAGAGAATACTACACAGTAATGAAAACAAGCTTCTTACACAGTTCCATCTACAAACGTGTGAAAAAAAACAAAGAAAAAGAATCATGCCACATAATTTCTTGTATATAAAGTTCTAAAATAGGTGACATTAACATATTGCTGAGGTCAGACAGGAGGAAGTAGTGTTCAGGAGTGGCAAATAATGGTTTCCAGACTGTTGGCTCTTTCTTGATCTGGTATACAAGTCGTGATAACTCAGTGACTGAAAGTTTGTTTCATAAACTATTTCATATGTTCATTCTACACTGATTAAAATGTTTTAAAAAATTTAAAGGACATATAAAATTGAATCAACAAAAGAAAAACACCCTACAAATATTGTATATATTTTTCACATGTGACCTTGTCTTGATCTTAGGCAAGAACTGAAGTGGGTTTACCCGTCCTTCATGAAAGGCTTATGATACCTCTGTTATGCCTTCATTGGTAGTTAATGTGACATCATTTTCATCTACTTGTGAAATACTCTCCAGTTCTTCAGCCTGAAGTGTAACTGATCCTTCACTTAATTGTGGCTTGGATTGTTCTTTTAAATCTCCTGTAGGAAATATACAATACTCAACTTATACCTACACATTATCTCACAGAAACAATCTGTAAGTTGAGGATCACTCAACATAATGGCCATGGAAGAAATCTTTTACTCCACGTATCAGTCATACTCAGAAAAACTTAATAAATGTACAGTCACTAATACAAAGGACCAAGCATTGTTAATTTGACTAAATTCTGCACAGTCTAAACTTCGAACAAAGTGGATTTCAATTTCTCCCCTGCAAATACTGACAAACTCATTCAATATTTTCAGCTCTAAACATTTCACAAATACACAATAAGCTGAATTTTTTTTAATGATTACTTTTTTACAATAGTAGAAACTCCACTAATTATATATGTGGAGCCTATTTATTCCAACTCCCCTATTAGATAGAATACAGGATCTTTAAGAACTGGAGCATATCTTATTAAACTTTATATGCTATATAGCCCCACGCATTATACTACCAAAAAGTAGCATTTTGCTCATTATATATTAACCAAAAGAATTTAATTTTAAATATTTACCATAGGTAAATATTTAGACCATCATAGTCTAAATCTCAAAATACCTCTAATTAAAAGTCTACCTAAATTGTAAATAACTATAATTCATTAACTCAGTTGTTTAATATGCTAAAGTTAACTAGCCTATTTGAATAAATTATATTTCACTTATTTCAATTTTTACAAACATAGTTACATGGATTTTGGATGACTTACTTCCCATTTAGGTTTAAAAGGCAATGTGGGACTATATTATCAAATCTATAATACTAAAAAAGTTCTAAGTGGTTTATATTAATACATTTTCACTCATTAAGAACATAGTCACACAACTACTTAATTTATGAGTTTTAAAACAGGCTACAAAAAATTCCTTCATTTAATTCATTACCTGAAAATAGATCATGGTTAAGATGAGCCGTATCATTCTCCAAATTACTTCTTGATAAATCAGATTTTCTTATTAAAGCAACAGGTTCTCTCTTCTCTGGTGATTTAATAAAACAACCAAATGATGGCTACAAAATAAACATGTGAATTTTTTTCTTAATTTTCAACTGTTTTGAGGAATCCTATATTGTTTTATTTAATATTGGTAACCTAGCTAAATTACTTCACAACATAATTTTCTTTCTATTTAAACTTAAGTTAGTAAAGGTGAACTTTAAAAGTCCAACAGAACCTTTTATTTCCTTACTGCTAGTTATCTTTAATTATCAGAATATTGTCAAGTAACTTGCCCTTACTAAGAAACCCAAATAAAATAATCAAGAAATTACTCTTTGTTCCTTCAGTAATTATTACTAAGCATCTATTATGTGCTGAAAGTGTTAACAAACATGAGCAAGAAAAGATAAAACTTCCAGCCTTCCAGGAATTTATAGTGTATGAGTATTGTATGCAATAAATACAAAAATCTATATTAAGATTAGATACCTTCTTACTGACATGGATGAAAGTTTCAGAAATGTTTATGTTCTATGAGCTTGCTAAAAGGCAGGAAATTCCCACCTTTCTTTTATCAGAAAAGTTTTCACATGATAGACCTAAAATGTGAATTCATTAGCCCCGGCTGCTGTGGCTCAGTGGGTTGGGTGTTGTCCCACAAACCAAAAAAGGTCACTGATTCCATTCCCAGTCAGGGCATATGCCTGGGTTGCTGTCCAGGTTCCCTAGTTGGGGGCAAGCCAGAGGCAACCAATTGATGTTACATCAATGTTTCTCTCTATCTCTTCCTCCCTTCCTTCCTCCTCCTCTTCTAAAAATAAGTAAAATCTTTTTAAAAATGTGAGTTCATTTAATGCACTCCATTTTTAGTCAGTCTTCACTTGGAAATTTCTTCCCTTGGTTGAGCAATTTCAATCCAAGTAACATTTCACAACTAGTACTAAAATAGAAATATCAAATGATAGGTCCATTTTTCCATGATCCAGTGCTTTGCTCAACTGTGTAACAGGAATTCAGTCACTCTTCAACTTCACTCACAATGTCAAAAATTCCAATTGATCCTGGAAGTAAAAAACCCACCTCTCTAAAGTATTTTCATTTTTTAATTCACTGCACAGATGGGACCCACAGTTCACTTTCAAACTGTAAATGAACTATGAATTCTAACACTATAGCTATTATTTTAAATTATACTCTTAGTGAAATCCAGTATTAGTAAACACTGTCCAATAATCCTAATTCCCTATATGGAATTTATCAACAAGTCCTTTGACAATAACTCTGAAAGAACTCTTGAATCTCTAAATTTTTGTTTCTTTAATATCATCCAAGAACCCTGAATTCATCACATCTCCTCCCATATACTAAGTTTCTGACTGTTTCTATTCTTCCTCTATGGTTCACTGACCTTCTCCACTGAGGCCCCAGCCATATATGGTAGCATTCTGTCACCCACAAGAGATTCGCCCCGGCACCACAACAAAGTTGCCCCCTGCCTCCAAGAACTTCTTCCCAGTTAATTTCAGGTGAATCCAAATCCTACATGGGCTCTTCATAATCTGGCCCTTGCCTACTTTTACCATTTAGTCCATCCTGCCTTCCCTTACTCTCCCCACCCCACCACAGTTTAGTTTCAAACTTAAGTTCTATAAATTCATATTAGCTCTATTTGCCTGCTTTTTCTTCCTCCAATATGGCACTCCAGTTCCTACCTTCATATATATGGTCTCCATGTAGTAGGAATAGGTTCCATCAAGATCTTTGATGACTGCATCCTTCTTTCTCATCATTTAGGTCCCAGTTCAATGCCATCTCCTAAGATGTCACCCTGAACACCACAGCTAAAGCAGCACCTTACCCTTACCCATTCTCCACAGAACTTATCACTATTGCTTGTGATTTTAGTTTCTTACATGCTTAACATCTTATTTCAAACACTCCTATATCTCAAAATATTTTTGAACAACAGTTTAAAAATCCAACTTTTAAATTCCTCCAACCAACCAATCACATAACAATAGCAAGTAATAGGTATTCAATATTACTGTATGATAGGTTTCATGCTAAATACTTCACTTGCACCATCACATTTAATTCTTATAAAACTCTATAAAGTAACATTCCATTTTAGAAATTGAAAAATTAAGGCATAGAGGAGTTAAATAAATTGTCCCAGGTCATAGACCTGGTTATAAGGCAGACCTAAGATTGGGTCAGTCTATTAAATCAAATATTCTAACATGTCACCATTCTGTCTCTGCTGTAGAGAGACTATGCTGTAGGTATAAAATTTAAAATCCATCATAAAATCCAAAATATAATGACTAGTCAATTTAACCACTTCCCGCATGTATTATACTTACTCTTTTCACATTGTAACCACCACCAAGGCAACCAAGAGCTTCAGATCTTTGAGCAAAGAACTCTCCTAAAGATAGACGCAAATAACTGGCATCATCTTTGTTCAAATTTGATGTGCTATGTGCTTTCCTCAACAAATTGTAATTAATTGAAGTTCCCCATGACACATCCCCTAGTGCAAATGAAGTATTCTGGGCATCTATATTTTCTTCCTAGAAAGAAAGTTATTGTTTCATTTTATTTCCCCAGAAAGCATTTTTTTCTGTTCTCATATTCAAAACAAAAAAATAGAACAAAGACGAAAAAACCCAACTTAGCTACGAAAATTTAAATTTTTTTTTGGACAAATTCAAGTTTAACCAGCTAATACAGGTAATGAAGGCCAGAAGAAGAGAAATTTAGTTTTTAAAACTTGATTTATAATATGCATTATTTTAATATGTTGCTTAATCAAACACTGATTTTCATTAATATAAATCTTTAGAAAGAAAGATATTTTCAATAAAAATAAATAGAATTGCCGCATTTTAAAACATGGTTAAAAACTTATGGAAATATGGTGATTTTAAGCAAATTAAATATTATTTCAGTTTGCTAGTTTTTTTTAAACTAATAATTTAGATTGTGAATAAAAAAGCAGAAATTATCTAAGTATGAGAAAAGAGTAATTCCATACTATTTCTATTTGGATAAAAATAAAAATTTTGCCACACTTAAATTAATACATGAAAATTGTTAAAATTTGATTTGTTAATAAAATACAAACCTGCATGAATTGGTGCTCTTTATTAAATTCTTCTTCATGTTGTGCAATCAAATCCATTGCCTCAGCTTAAAAAGAATAGGTATATAAAATTATACTGATGCCAATTAAATATTAGCATATAAATAAAACTTAGCTAGTTAGGAAATAAAATACTAAAAAAATTAAAATTTTGAAAACTATGTGAAAGCTTTCTACCACACAACTGATGCATCTACATTAAGTACATAGTCCACAGTTCTCAAACTTTTGCTAATCAATACCCTACTATAATTGATTTCATCAGCTACTAATGTACCCCAATTCACAACAGGGGTTTACAATGTAAGCTATTTGTTTTTATAAGAGTCACATTAATTTCAGCTCTAAAGATTTGGCCCACCCGAGTTAATGTATTTCCCCATGAATACCCTTGGGATTTCACCTGGACAAATCAAAACTGACAATTCCATAAATTCACCATGAAGATGTCAGCAGGGGTGCCCAATCACCTGTTTGCCCATAACTGTCCCAGGTTTAGAAAGGAAAAGTTCCACAACCCAGCAAACCCCAAAGCCTGGGCGAAGGGGGATGGTGGTCACCAGTTCCTATGTCAACAAAGTTCCTATGAGCAACTCACTTCACTTTAGGGAAATGAATGGACACAAATCAACCTCTAAGCCAAGGCCACAAACTAAATGCCTTAGGGGTGAATAAGCAAAGAGGGCCAGGTGTATCACAATAGGAAACGGTGGGACAATGGCAAACTAGAAAGCATATGCTCCTGCTCAACGTATTAGAATTAAAGAGAATTTTAAACATACTGGCTAATTCAGAAAAGTCTGCAGTTTAGACTCTAGACTACCTACCTGTCTGTTACACACTCTAAGCCTTTGCCTGATACTTCAGAATAGTAGCAGGAAGGGGAAAAGTAAATAACAACCCGGCGAAGCTATCACTTAGAATGGAAGGGCACATAAAGTGCTTTCCAGATAAGGTCAATTTAAAAGAGTTCATCATTATCAAGCCCTTATTATATGAAATATTAAAGGGACTTATCTAAGAAAGAGAAGATAAAAACTATGAACAGTAAAATGACAACAAACACACTTATTAACAACCAAATCTAAGAGAAAAACAAAAGCAAACTAAGCAAACAACTGGAACAGGAACAGAATCACAGAAATGGAGCTCACATGGAGGGTTATCAGTGGGGAGGAGGAGATGGGAGAATGGGGAAAAAAGTACAGAGAATAAGCAGCATAAATGGCAGGTAGAAGATAAGACAGGGGGAGGTTAAGAATACTATAGAAAATTTAGAAGCCAAAGAACTTATACATATGACCCATGGACACAAACTGAAGGGAGGGAATGTGGGTGGGGTGTGTGCAGGGCACAGGGGAATGAAAGGTGGAGGAATGGGACAACTGTAATAGCATAACCAATAACATGTATTTAAAAATATTAAAATAATGTAAAATGGCTTTGAAGTATAAAAATTATACCTTTGGGCCATTCTTTTCTGAGTATCTATCTACTCTTACATTTTCAAAATTCCCTTCCCCATTCCTATTAAAAGGCTCCTATTTCTATTAAGTCTCCCACTCCATTCATATGTTCCTCTGGCCTGGATTTCCCTTGATCCTTTGTTTTCTTCCATCAGATTTATTATTTTTTTTTTTTTTTTTTTGGGGGGGGAGGATATGTTGTGTTTCTGGCCCCCCCCGACGGGCCCCAAAAGCCCCTGCACCGTGCCGCCCCCCCCAATCCACTGAGCTTCTATCAGATTTAAATAGTTTTCCATACTCATGTTCTCCATTTCCTTACCACTCATGCTAGTCATACCACAAGTATGGCTTCATTAAATTCCTCTATTATTATTTTCTCCTTTAATAATAACATGCTCACATAATTCAAAATTCAAAAGGTGTATGCATGTATACTATGCCTCAATAAAGACTTTTTAAAAGTTAACCAAATTACATAAAAGGGAATAAACACTGAAATGTCTCCCCTATATCTCTCACCCCACATACCACACTTACAGAAGTAACCAGTGTCTAAGTACCCAGAAACCCCAGCTATTTCAATTTGATTTTTGAGTTCAAGTAGACAGAGATACCTGCAATCCATTTCTTTTTTAAAAACTCTCTCCACTATATGCATTTATTAACAATTGTGTGCCTCCCCTCTTCCTCCCTTTTACGCAAATGTTGGAATATTTTTTAAACTTTACTTAGTTATTTTTCAAGTAGTTTTCTCTCTTTCTCCCATCCCAGCCCATCCTGCCCCAAGCTCCCCACCTCTCTCCCATTTCCATCCCCCTTAATTCTTGTCCCTGTGTCCTTCATACTTGTTCCTCCAAATCCCTCCCCTTTTTATCCCCTTAAATTTCCTCCCCTCTCGCCTAGAGTCACTGTCCCCTTGTTCTTTATTTCAGTATCTTTGTTTTTAATCTGCTTGTTTGTTTTGTTTAGCTTCCTGTTAAAAGTGAGATCATATGGTATTTGTCTTTCAGGACCTGGCCTATTTCACTCAGCATAATGCTTTCCAGTTCCATCCATGTTGTTGCAAAGGGTAGTAGCTCCTTCTTTCTCTCTGCTGCATAGAATTCCATTGTGTATATGTACCACAATTTTTTGACCCATTCATTTACTGATGGGCACCTAGGTTGCATCCAACTCCTGGCTATTGTAAATTGTGCTGCTATGAACATTGTGGTGTATAGGTTCTTTGAAATTGATGTTTTAGGACTCTTAGGATATAATCCTAGCAGTGGAACTGCTGGGTCAAAAGGCAGATCCATTTTTAGTTTTCTTTGAAAATTCCATACTGTTTTCCATAATGGTTGTACCAGTCTGCAATCCCACCAACGGTGAACTAAGGTCCCCTTTTCCTTACACCCTCTCTAACATTTGTTGTTTGTTGCTTTGTTTATGATAGCCATCCTGAGCGGTGTAAAATGATATCTCATTGTGGTTTTAATTTGCATCTCTCTGACAGCTAGCGATATTGAGCATCTCTTCACGTGTCTCTGGATCTTATGTATGTCCTCCTCGGAGAAGTATCTGTTCAAGTCCTTTTCCCATTTTTTAATTGGGTTAGTTGTCTTCTTAGAGTGGAGTCGTGTAAATTTCTTTGTATATTTTGGTGATTAAACCTTTGTCTGAGGTATCATTGGCAAATATGTGTTCCCATACAGTTGGTTGTCTTTTTAATTTAATACTGCTTTCTTTAGCCATGCAGAAGCCTTTTATTTTGATGAGATCCCATTTCTTTATTCTTTCCTTTACATTCCTTGCTCTAGGGGACATATCCGTAAAAATGCTGCTGCGTGAAATATCTGAGATGTTCCTGCTAATGTTCTCCTCTAGGACTTTAATGGTGTCACGGCTTATATTTAGGTCTTTTATCCACCTTGAATTTATTTTGGTGTATGGTGTAAGTTGGTGCTCAAGTTTCATTTTTTTGCACGTAGCTGTCCAGTTCTCCGAACACCATTTGTAGAAGAGGCTATCTTTACTCCTTTTTATGTCACTGCCCCCTTTCTCAAATATTAATTGACTGTAAAGAGTTGGGTTTATTTCTGGGCTCTCTGTTCCGTTCCATTGGTCTATGTGCCTATTTTTACGCCAGTACCAGGCTGTTTTGATTACAGTGGTCTTGTAATACAATTTGATATCAGGTATTGTGATCCCTCCTACTTTGTTCTTCTTTTCAAAATAGCAGCTGCTATTCGGGCTCGTTTATGGTTCCATCTAAATTTTTGAAGTGTTGGTTCTATGTCTGTGAAATATGCCATTGGTACTTTAATAGGTATTGTATTGAATCTGTAATTTGCTTTGGGTAGTCTGGACATTTTGATGATGTTAATTCTACCAATCCATAAACAAGATATATGTTTCCATTTGTTTGTGTCTTCCCCGATTTCTTTCTTCAGGGCTGTTTTCTGCATACAGGTCTTTTACCTCCTTAGTTAGTTTATTCCCAGATATTTTTTTTTTGTTTTTGCTATATTGAATGGGATCTTTTCCTTGATTTCTGCTTCTGCTGATTCATTGTTGGTATACAAAAGTGCCTTTGATTTATGGATTCTGACTTTGTAACCTGCTGTTTTTGCCAAATTCATTAATTAGTTCAAGCAGTTTTTGGGTAGAGTCTATAAGGATTTTCCATGTACACTATCATGTCATCTGTGAACAGTGACAGTTTTGTTTCCTTCTTTCCTATTTGGATACATTTTATTTCCTTTTTTTGCCTGATCGCTGTGGCTAAAACTTCCAAAAATATATTGAATAAAAGTGGTGAAAGTGGACATCCTTGTCTTGTTCCTGATCTTATTGGAAAAGTTTTTAGTTTTTACCCATTGAATATGATGTTGGCTGTAGGTCTCTCATATGTGGCCTTTATTATGTTGATGAATGCTCCCTCTATTCCCACCTTGCTGAGTGTTTTTATCATAAATGGGTGTTGTACCTTATATCAAAAGCTTTTTCTGTGTCTATAAGATCATGTGGTTTTTGTCTTTGCTTTTTTGTTTATGTGATGTACTACATTTACTGATTTGCAAATATTGAACCCTCCGTGCATCCCTGGGATGAATCCCACTTGGTCATGGTGTATGATCTTTTGGATATATTGTTGGATGTGATTTGCCAATATTTTGTTGAGAATTTTAGCATCTATGTTCATCAGCGACATTGGCCTGAAGTTCTCTTTCTTTGTTGTGTCTCTATCTGGTTTTGGAATTAGGACGATGCAGGCTTCATAAAAACAATTTGGGAGTTTTCCATCCTTCTGGATTTTTTGGAATAGTCTGTGAAGAATAGGAGTTAGCTCTTCCTTAAATGCTTTGTAGAATTCTCCTGTGAAACCATCTGGTCAAGGGCTTTTGTGTGATGGGAGTTTTTTGATTACTGCTTCAATTTCTTTTGCTGTTATTGGTTTGCTCAGCTTTTCTGCATCTTTTTCATTAAGTTTTGGAAGATTATATTTTTCTAGAAATGTGTTTATTTCCCCTGGGTTTTCAAATTTCTTGGTGTACAGTTCTTCATAGTAATTTCTTACAATCCTTTCTACTTCTGTGGTG